TGAGCTTCTGAGAGCTGCTGTGGGCTGCCATGAGCGGCCATCCAATGGCTGGCGAGCGACTGCCTCACCCGGGAAGAACGCAATGATAATACCAACATGGGCCAGTGAAGCGACGTCCTCCACAACTAGACTGAAGAAAGAAAGGACAGCAACTTGTCTGTTCCCCTTCCCTGATTCCCCAACGCTGTTTCCCTCCCCCAATTTCCCAATAAAATCTTCAAAAAAAGAAAAGAAAAGAAAAGAAAAGAGAGGGCTGGCCGAATGCCTCTGTTGGTTAAGAGTTGGCTTAAGAGCACGAGCTCTGAGCAACAGGGCCGTCGGTTCGATTCCCACATTGGCCAGTGACGCTGCACCTGAGCTGAGCTGCTGATGAGCTGCCAACAGGTGGCAGGATGGCTCAGCTGGTGTAACAACAAGACTGCCTGATTGATGGTGGGCTATACCCACCCGCAACTAAGACTGAACTCAGTACCTTGAGCTGAGCTGCCACCTGGATGGCTCAGTGGATAGGGCACGTGCTCTTAACAACAAGGCTGTTGGTTCGACTCCCACATGGGATGGTGGTTACGCCCACCCGCAACTAAGATTGAAAACTTTGAGCTTAGAGGCTATGAGCTGCCGATGGGCAGCCAGATGGTGACTGGCGCCCTTCACAATGAAGATTGAAGAACAACAACTTGGCTGGTCCCCTTCCCCAATTCCCCAACACTGTTCTCCTTCCCCAACTCCCCAATTTAAAAAAAATCTTTTTAAAAAGAAAAGAAAAGGGCCGGCTGAGTGGCTCAATTGGTTAAGAGCTTGCTCAAGAGTGCGAGCTCTGAGCAATAGCGGTTCGATGCCCGGCCCAAGCTGAGTTGCTGCTGAGCTGCCAACAGGTGGCAGGATGGCTCAGCTAATAAAAAATAAAAATAAGGGCCGGCCGAGTGGCGCGATGGTTACGAGCTGGCTTGGGACGCCAGAGGGCCCCGGTTCAGATCCCACATATGAGGGCCAGTGACACTGCCCTCCACAGCTAAGATGCTGAACAACAGCTCA